ATACAGTCTTAACTGTAATAAAAGTACTTATAGTGTTTAACGCTAGATGGTAGCACGTCCCATCGAGGAATTAATAACAATCATTACTGTGACCTCGTTCCATATCACTTCATTGTGTATCCAATCGTATGAGCTATTCAACCAAAGAGCGCAGTAACTAGGGAGGGTGAAACATACACATCGTTCATCTAAACCACAACCTGTTGGCATTTGAACTGAATCCAGGAAATGCTGCAGAAAATCAAGAACGATGCCTGCAAGTATTCATCTTGCATTTTTGTTAACAGTACAAAAAAATAGATATTATGTTTTTCTTTATATTTATATAATAAGTTATATAAATATATTTTAAAATTATTGTTACAATTCTTATCAAGTTACACAAACAATCATTTATAATGAATTTATATATATATATATATATATATAGCCTGTACGCTTCCTGTACAAGTGGATATCAGTTTTACTCTTACGCCAGATTATATTATTATAACTGTTATCGATGCAAGACAAAGTACTCAATTCTACTCTATATTTAGCAAATTAATGATAAAAATTTTAGTTTAGATACGAAATTATTTTGTAATCGTCGATGCTGTTTTTGAGACAGTTTTTTAAAATTATTATTCCTTACAAAATACAAGTTAGTAATAAATCGCCAACAGAAAAATAGGTTAGGTAGGCGTAGAATAAAATGTATTGAATTGATGTTTTCAAAATGTTTAGTAACATCTATACTGTAAAGCGGATAAATATTGTATATCATCTTGTCTCAATTGTTCGAAAGGGTGTTTATTTTTAATTCCTTTGAAGTAGGAGTTGTTAAATTTATTGACTTTCAAACAGATTGCTATAAAAATAATAAACACACAACATACCAACTGTATTATATATATTGTATATAATCTTATAATGAGCTTTAACCTGTAAAAAAATATAATTTTAAGCTTCAATAAAAGAATAAATATAACATAAAGTAAAATGTAGTTTAGAAAAAATTATTACCTAACTTTTTAATAAAATATATAAGATAAAAGGCTGCCCAAAAGTCAGTTAACCATTGTAAAGTCTAGACTTGTTTTATTCGAACACTTAAACACTTAATGGAAACGCAATTTAAAGTAATAATATTTTTAAAGAATAATAAACGTTGTTTTAAACTTGATTTACGATTCATATTCACAAGTGTAACGGAAGTAAATCACGGTTAACTGACTTTTGAGTCACCTCGATAAATAAGTCCCATTTTGAGAGGTCATATATAAAAAAAAAAAAAATGGAGATAATTTTCTCGTTACGGAGTATACAGTATATAATACAGTAAAAAATTCTATGTATAAATAAGCATAGAATAGAAATTATTATATATTATCGAAAGATTAAAATAGTTCTATATAACATCAATCGTTATACAGAGTTTTTTTTTAATAATGAAAATCGAATGAGATCATAAAACGACTCCTTAATAACATTTGCGTTATAATAAATACTATATTATCTCCATAGAAACACTATTGATTATTAATGAAAAGGTTTCAAAATTTTGCTTCTTTTTATGCGTGGAGCCAAATTTGATCAAATAGTAATAGTAATACATGTCTGAAAATTATACACACATTTTATAAGTATGTATAAGCTATATTAGGCTTGTCAAATGAATAAGCATGGCATTACTATTGTATAGAACAATTGCCTATTCCGTTAAAACCTGTACCGCATTTCTAAATATGATATACTCAATAAGAAAAGTGGAACACGGAAACAAATGATGGAATGAAGTGCAGCGAGAACAGAACACGCCAAAGTCTACTTTGTCTAGATCTGAATTTGATCTAATACGGGTTTTATATATTAGATTAACCTTAGATTGAGACAGAATATCGAAAGAAACTCTTTTGAAATTCAATGGATAAACAAATGCTGAATGTTAGGTTCGATCTGGTTTTATATTCGTCTTTTGAATTTTTCCTGTTGTTTTAACGGGAAAAATATTTTTAAACTTTCTATTGAAATTTACTCATTAATTAAACAAATTTAAATTTAGATTGTTTAAAAATGATAAAATCTCTAATTAGCAAAAACTGTGTTATATAAATCTATTGCATGTTTTGCAATTTTTAGCAAATAAATTTACAAATTATATAAAAATATCGAATTATTTAATTAAATTAGATATTAATTTATAAAAAATATATATATAAATAGGTTGATATAAAATATATAAGTTTTTATTGAACAGAAATTTAAATTTTATTCTAATCAGTTTAATCTACTTTTCTAATCAGTTTCATTCAACCATCGCACGCAACTACCAATTATAATTCGAAGCAAAGATCACGTGGAGCACGTAAGACTGGTTATTGAGAGCAGCTATCGAGTTAAAACCGATATCGGTCTTCCTTCTCAGCTTTAAATATCTTCAAAGAATGATAATATTCGATCAGTATGCAATCTATAAAAGTAATTTGCTACATATTCTACAAATTTGCAGCAATTAAAAAAGTTGCACAAAGTAAAAAAATATTAAATAAAGCATTTAAAATCACACTTTCCCATTTGAAAATGTAAAATTCCCCATACTTTATACACATTTATAAAATCAGATATGCAACTTTCTCGGCTATAATCCATTCTTGCGTAAATATTAAATATTAATTTTGAATATACAACTCACGCCAGACATTGTGTATCCAATCGTATGAGCTATTCAACCANACATACCAAAAGGGTATTTCACAATATAAACAATATAAAAAATTAAAATTTTTAACCTTAAATAATTTAAAATAATAGTTAATTTATAAGAATGTAAGAAATTAACTAATTTGCATACTTTGCAATTAAAAAAAATGCTGAAAATGTATAAATTGAGATAAAAATTTAATTAGAATGCATCGTTTCAGTTTACATACATTTTTTTTTTCCTGTGAAGAATTGAAAGAAGTTGCATAATAAAGCGAACACAATTGGCCCTTTGATTACCATTTAATAAAAGCATTAATAATGGTTTTACAGAACTTAAAGCCATCCTAATTTAGTTATTTTTCTGTTTTTTTAAGCACTAGAAAGTGAAATAGAGGGGGAAGAAAAGAAAGAAAATTTAATTAAATTTACTAAAATTCATTTAAGATCTAATATTTAAAAATAAAATATTAAAAAAAAAGTTTATTTATCGGTAAACTAGTTATCGGATTTACTGCATAATGAAATCGTTAAGGATTCTCTCTCTTCTCTTCCATTTCTTTTATTGATTTTTAAATTTGCTAGAATGAAGTACGAATGATGGAAATATGAAGACATACCCGATCTTTTTATTATCATTAAAGAGAATAGTTCATATTTTTTATATTATTATTATGAATCTTTAAAAAACTATATCTTTATATGATGATATATAGATGATAAAATGTATTTATATAAATTGTATTAAAATTTTTAAAAAAACAAGTTCTTTCTCATCCTGGGCAAGAGGATTCTTTACGATATACAGTATATATATATATATATATATCGTAAAGAATCTTCTTGCCCTATATATATATAAACATACACGCAGCAGGAACATCTTTAACTTCAAGTGGTCTGGCTTCATCTATAAATATGGGAGTTACAAACTGCATTATTCTACGCATCAGAATCTTTTTTATTTAAAGAATATTTCTGAGGCAATTGTAACAAGTGGTTGGGTTAAATTCACGTTGACAAGTTTGATGTCACATGCCAGACTAAAAGAAATAATACTTTTAAAATAGAACTGTAGAGCCGTCATCTACAATCAAAAGGGCTTAATTTAGCTTTATTTAAACTCATAATTCTTAGAATCATCGAAGCGATATGGTATATAAATATACTTCATATAGAAATCAACAGCTAAACACCTCATTCGTTTATAAGATATTAAAAATAGGTAGAAAGATATATTTGCTAGTCTCTAATAAACTTTTTACGGGCCCAGAATCCCAATTTCCGTGCTAGGGAACCATCTCGAAGCCTTGGAACGAAGACCTATCAATTGACTGTAGAGGAAATATCCGCAGCCATATCTGACAGTAACAAACATTTCCCGAGCTCGAAATTCGATAACAAGACGCAAAAAACAAACAAACAAACAAAAAAAATATATAAGAGAATTAAACCATTGAATCGATTTATGTTTTGCCAGTATAACGACACCGTTTCTAGTTAAAACTAATAAAGGAAGATTGTTACGAATGAAAAGGAACCAGACAAGTCTAGACATCATCACTCCTCCTCCGACATCACCAGTTGAGAACGTAAAATCTACACACCAATTCTTATTGTAATCTACCGTACTAGATCGATAAGGTAGAAGCCGACTACTACACGAAATCGTCAAGCGGCAAACTCATCCACCTTTTCCGGCTTCAACCGGCTGAGATTGCCGTTAATTCATTTTCTCTTGACACGAACAGACTGTATCGTACTTGTTTAAAGATGGCGACTTTCTTCTAAAAAAAATTATAATTCGAGAAACAGGAAGACTAAATAATACACTCGATGCCTTGTAATGTAAAACAGGTTATACCAGGTTGTTGTTGTTGTTATGTTATTGTCTAAGTACAGTACATCATCGACATAAAAAAATCTTTCTCGTGTTTACTTTTTGACGTGTACAATGTTGTTTACACAAGAACTTAACAAATTTGTTAATTCTTGATTCTATATAAACAACTCTAGCAAAATGTCTGGCTATATTCTAACAAATATGCATTCGTTTCGAGACGGACGGCACTTCCATATGTACTGTACGTACTACTACGTTCTTCATCTGCATCGATCTTGTAGCTACTACTCGTTCCTTCCGAATTTTAATAAGCCAAACCGCGTACGTATGGTACATAAATATAAACCAATCTTATTATTTTTTTTAAAAAACCCTCTAATTACGGAAAAAAATAATTTCGTGACACCAGCGTGTGATGTCTACGTTACGTCAAGCCGATGTTGTTTTAATTAAGTTATACATAAAAAAGAGATCGTTCCAAGTTCCATTTAGTTTATTTCAGCTCAGAAAATACAAAAGTCACGACAGCACATTAAAACAACTGTTCACTAAACAACTTTTCTTTTTTCTTCTTTTTTAAAACTTTACAGAAAACGAAAAAATAAAAAAGTAAACTTCATGGGGCATAGTCTCCATGTTCAGGAAATGATTGGAACAATTGAAAGGCACAGTTCTATTAAAGTGGTGATTTTTTTTTTTAACTTAACAGTAGAAATTCATCTTTTAACAATTCCAAAAATTTCACAGAAAAACGGACAAAATATTGACAAGTTAACAATATATATCTTTTTTCTTTAACTGGTTTTTTTTGTACGAGTCAATATTTTGGCTTTCGTCAATGTTTATAAATTTATATGAAAAACTAGCTGTTGTAATACTTAATACATCAGAAAAACAATAGAATATGAACACTGACAAGGAAAAAGCACTTGTTTCCTTGTTAAATATATTTTATATATTTATATATATATATATGTATATAGTCTCTTCAATTGTTCTAACTGTACCATGGTGACAAACTTTGCTGCTTGTTTATATTATACATTATGAAAAATTACAAGATATTAAGAAATATTTAAATGAGGTAACAAACAGCAGCCCCAAATGTGATGAACTCAATGAGCAATAATTCAAAAACAAAATGAATAAATGTTTACTTAGGCATGTGTGATGACTTTAGCTTGTCTGTAGCAATCACCGAGCTGTTAAGCAGTGAAGTCTACCAAACATTCAAAAAAATTTTTTTAATAAAATGATTGCTACAGAGAAGCATATTAGGAGAAAAATGCAAAATTTTTACACTTTTTCCAGGTAAACCATCTACATGAAGAGGATTTTCAACATATCTCTGAATTCACGCCTAAGTACATAAGCATGTTCACTTGATGAGCTGAAAATTAATGACATGATGACATGATACACAGGGTAACAAACCTACTCCAAAAATCCCCTACATGAAGTATCATAGAACTATGAACAGGGAGTTAAGGACAGCAATAATAGTGTCCTTTGGCCAACTTCAATGCTAACAACACTGTGAACCACAGATGCTTCACTCATCGTCCTCTTCCTCTTCCTCCTCTTCATCTACATCGTCCTCTTCTACTACTTCTTCCTCCTCTTCTGGGGATTCTTCCTCCTCCTCGTCCGATTCATCTTTCTTTTTGGCTCCTCCAGCCTTAGCACCACCACCTGCCTTAGCCTTCTTTCCCTTATAAGCCTTTACTTCCTAATTGGTTTTTTAATATAAATTAGTTTACTTATTAAAAAAATAAAATTTATTTAAAACACACCTTTTCATATCTGGCTTTATCTTTAGCAGCGAGAGCTTCATATTTTGCCTTGGTTTCATCTGTAACTTCGTTCCACCGTCTACCAAGTTCTTTGGCAATTTCACCAACAGGAGCATCTGGTAAACTTTCCTTTGCTTTTGGACGTTCATCATTACAAAACCAAAAGAAAGCTGATCTAAAGGGCAAATAAGAGTTTCAACAAATAAAAGAATTTTTAATTTATTTATATACTTTTTGAAATAACATCTTACAAGGCCCTTTTGGGAGCATTTGGATCTTTAGTACGTTTACGCTTCTTGGTTTTTTCTCCCTTTACTGGTTTATAATTTGCCATTTCGGACTCGTATCTCTTTTTATCCTTTTCGGCCATCTGATGGAAACGCTGCTTTTCCTTCTCGGACATTGTCTTAATAGTAACGATAGAAGTAAAATAATTTAAAATCCATCACACGTAAACAGAAAAACCGACTTAATTAAATTCTCGAAACAACCTCACCTTCCACCTTTCGGCACATTTTTTGGAAAATTCGGCAAAAACGACATTTTCATTAGGATGCTTCTTTTTATGTTCCTCACGGCATGTCTGAACGAAGAAAGCATAAGCAGACATTCTGCCACGGGGCTTATTGTCACCTTTGCCCATTTTTGAATAAGAAGACCTGATAGCGTGAACACCAATTACGATTCAAATCCCCCTTTTTTGTACGTGCAAACACTTGTAATAAAACGAGCGAAGATAAGTCGTTTACACTTTATTATTTAATACTTCAATAAAATGAATTATTATTATTCCTTCCGCATAATTTAATAAGAGCAATAAACAATATAAACAAACAGGAGACAAGTGATCCACTATATAAACAGTAATCATTTGCCTTAAAAATAAGATATAAATAAACAAACAAAAAATTTCTCTTATTTAATTGCACTTAACAGTTATTCGGTCTCAATCAGGGAAATTTTCTACTTATTTTTTAATTGTTTTTAAAAATTACCTCGGCCAAATCAAACATTCTGATATTTATAAAACTATGGCAAAGGCAAACATCAATTATTTTTAATTACCTAGTTCGATAAAGGAAGATTAAACATTAAAACATTCCTTCTTGTCAAAAAAGGGCGATTCTCCAACAATCCTATTAAACCTGCACCATGCAAACCAATTAAGGGCAATTAAAGATTATAAGAGCGATTTTCCTGAAATAAATTATATAAAATATATAATACATAAATACATATTCTATTCCTACATAACTCCTCTTTTTTTTTTTAATTATTAAATTTGTTTAAATGTCACACCACCAAAAACCGTTATTATTAACCAGTTCAACAACCGCGAGAATCAAAAACAAAAGAAAAATAAAAAATTAAAAAATAAAAATGGCTAAGAACCTGGTTTTCATGAATGAAACCCCCGTTATATTATGTCCTTGAAGTCGAGAATGTATTGTACATTAAAAAAAACCAAACGAAAAAAGGTTTTCGAAGCCATTTTTGACGAAACATCGCAACCGCCGAGCCTATACTGTAGGATTCAGTCCGTACAGTACTGTATGAGTTGCTATCTAATAACGTTGTTGTTGGCTTAGGCAGCCATTGACGACTAACAAAGAAACGATCGTTTTTAAAACGAGTTATTTCCTTCACCCGCCGTATAATCGTCGAAATTAATTAAACCGTGACGTAGTACCATCCTTCGTCTGTCGATTCGACCCGATAACGAACCGATCGTTTAATTTATTAATAAGAAAAATCGTCAAATTGCATCCTTCTACTCGGCCTCCATTGCTACACTATGGCGACCCTTCTTTGTGCAACGTTCATACTAAGCCTATAGCAATGACTAATAGAGAAGTAGTAGGAAAGGCGTTTGATCGTCGAAAATACGATCTGACAGCATAAAACTTATTCTTCTACATTACCTTTTGTCGAAAACGTATCTTGGAAGTCGATTTCTGAATCTCTTTAACGATTATTTACAGCAAAAACATCTTACCTAAACAACTGCCTAGTCAACGCCGCGTTGGCAAAACGAACACCTCACGCGCTCGCTTGTACGTTTCAAAGGGAGAACCGTATCATTGGTTAGTTCGCTACCGGGATTACGAATTTAGCCAATGAGACTTCGCGTGGCTATCACGTGACGTGTGACCATCGCTTTGTTTAACCAATGGTATTGAGTATTTAAAACCGAAAAGGAAAGGCGCGGAATACGGAATCGTCGTCTGCTTCGGTTAGGGACTAACAATCGTAACGGATTTATAATGGCTGGCGGGTGTACTTACTATTACATTGTCTCCTACCTATAGAATTAATATATAAGTAATTTTATGTAATAAAAATTATTTAATTAGGATTTATTACGACATTTGAAGGCAGTTAATCGCCATCATCATCACTTTAAAATTTTATTTTCGTATCTTATAATCTAGAAATTTAAAAATTTCTTCCAAATTAAACTTTAATATCGTTTTATTATTTAAGTAAAAATATNGCATGTTTGGAAGTGGAGGGGGAGGTGGTGGAGGTGGTGGAGGAGGTCCCACCGGTCGAGGTGGAGGAGGATGCATCATTGGCGCCGGTGGCGGAGGCATGCTGAGAGGTGGTGGTCCCATGGGACGTGGACCAGTGGGTGCCATCATAGGTGGTGGTTGTCCAGGCATCAATGGTTTGATTTTTTGATCTACTTTAAAACTAAATTGTAAAAAAAACTGTTTAGTTTCTCTGTTCCACATTGTCCAAAACTTTTCTTCACTTTTATCAACTTCACGACTTGGTACTTTAAATGCTATAGTTTCGTATGGTTCGGCTGCAAATAACAAGTATTGCCATCTCCTATCTGGTGGCTCTACTTTCTGTTCGTAAGCGGACATGAAACGATGACGAGGGGTGACTGTTTCTGCGATTTCTGGATAATCAATTTGAAAGAGAAGGCTTTGTTGACCGGTTTCGCTTTCTCGTTGTTTAGTTACCCGATAACCGGGACGACCGATCTTTACAAATTTTTTAATGTCAACTCTAGGTTTTGCGGGAGCTGGTTGGGCTGGTGATTCTTTTGCTTCTTTTGCAGCCCTTCTAGCTAGATTAGCTTGATGTTTCTTTCCTTGAGTGTGAGCTAAATAACTCCCCTCATTATTATGAAGGGTCAAACATAACTTGCATTCATATGAACCTGAAAATTAAAAGTTCTCAATCATTTTTTATATTAAATAAATAACGCTTCTGATAAATACGATTTTTTGTGTATTAATAATATTATTGATGAATTTTTATTAATTATGAGTAAATGTAAACACTCAATAAGTAGCCGGAGACTTATAAAATTCGTTTATAAATACTGTAATAAAAATGGCAGCCATGTTTTTTTTTCATTTTTTAAATTACGAGAAAGCGTTATATAAATATCATAATCTGATTGGTTAATTTTGAATCAGATAACGAAGTCGTTTTGAAACGGTTGACGCTACTAGTTATTTTTTGAATTTAAACCGTCCAATAAACGCTTTGATTAAAAAATTATTAAGAAATGTGTTTCTAATTAAAAACTCTATTCGATGTTTCCCGAAGAGACTGTTAAATCAACCAATGGGCGCATTGTTTAATTAACAAATGCAAAGAAAAATATTTTTATTTTAAATTATTACAGAAAAATAAAAAAAACTGCATAAAAATTACAATTTTCATTTAATTTTAACATTAATTTTAAAAGTGAATGAAAATTGCCAAATTTGCAATTTTTATCCTTTATAAAAGATAAATATTTGCATCAATAAGATCCATTAATCAGGATTTATAGTTTCTACATTCAATTGAGTGATTTAAGAAAAAATGATGACTTATCAGTGAAATTTCTCTGGATTATGATTCTTGGATAAACATGCGAATTGGAATCATTTACACGATATAGCTGATGTTTTCATGACGTTCATTCGTCTATCCAGACTTTATCGCATAAGATATCATTTAATATACTTGAACAAAGAGCGAAGTGCACCGATTGGGGTATCTCAAGTGGTAACCTTTTCGATGCAGTATTAGCTGGGATATGCTATAATTCTGTCAAAAAATATAGATATATATAAATGAAGTTTAAATAATAAATTGAGTTTCTTAAATAGTTTGCATAGATGCGAATATAATTTTTTCCAATCTTTTGTGTATATTTTTTCAATTAATTAAGAGAAACAGACGAGGTTATAACATCTACATTGCATCTATAGGTTAACGTTCTATTATGAGAAGCAGTCACAGCAACAAAACCCGTTTTTCTCAGACTTCCTCGTCAAATTTTGAAATGCCACGCATTTAATTCTGCAAAGTCTAATCCCTTGATAAAATAACTAATTTCTCCCTTCACACAGGTATAGAAATACTTTCATGTAATTCTAAAATTTGTGATAAACAGCGTCATATATTTCTTTTTCTTTTATATAAGAATACTAATAAACATGCTTTTTTTCTCTCCGCCCTCTCTCTAGAGAAAGAAATCTAGATTGAATTTATAGCTTTAAAAAATGCATAAGAAATAAAATTACAGAAATATGATCGAGTTTTACCACATATAAAGCAATATGTAACGAAGGAAACCGATAAAAAGTCGAAAATAAACAGGAATTGCTATTAAAAATATTTTTTAAACTTTCGTTATCGTTACCACTATATACGCTACAGCAGAGAGATAAATACTGAAGTATATATGAAAGTAGAGTAATTTATAAAGACGATTGTATCAAGAACAATCACAGGAACAGCCGCGGTCCCATGAGCAGGAGAGTCACCCCTGGGTACTCGTAACACGTGGAGCCATTGACCGGGGTCAACCCAACAAACGAACACCGGAACTCGTCCTATAGCATTATCACAACTCTCACGACCGTGAAGTTTATATATAATAAGAAAATATTTAAAAACAAATATATTTTTTCTATATTAATGCGTACAGTTTACAAAAGTTTACGTGCGTTTCGAAATGAAATACCATGCAGTGAATGTAACATATTTTATACTTCGTACTGCGGCAAAAAAACGAGTGATGCTGCAATATTAATAATGAAATACATCAAAACTACGCGTACAATTTTCATTTTAAATGAACAAATAATAATAATGAAATAAATCGTAAGTTTAATTATTCGCATAAGACCTATATACGACGGTTGATTTTTCGAATTACATAAGCCTACATTTAGAAAATAACGAGTCGACAAGAGAAAATTATTTGGTAGCCGCACGGATCGATATACATGAGTAATTTTGATGTTTACTGTCGCCATATGTATTGATTCTCAAAATCTGAATCTAAGAGATTTTCCATGTGAGGCCGTATAACTGAAGATCTTTACAGTAGATGGCGCCACACCAAAATAGGTTCAAATGTAATATTTTTTTTTTATAAATCAGAATTTCTTACTCATTATTTTAAAATTTATTAATCAAATGGAACTTGTATGATATGATTATTACAGATTAAATTTTCTAAACACTGGAAAAATGATTAATACATAAAAATTGGTTTTTATTTTTTCTGAACAATGAAAATGCTAGAAAATTCACTGAGGTGGTGGACCAGGTGGTTGAGGTGGAGGAGGAAGATGTGAAAAATGAGGTGGAGGAGGAGGCATGTTTGGAAGTGGAGGGGGAGGTGGTGGAGGTGGTGGAGGAGGTCCCACCGGTCGAGGTGGAGGAGGATGCATCATTGGCGCCGGTGGCGGAGGCATGCTGAGAGGTGGTGGTCCCATGGGACGTGGACCAGTGGGTGCCATCATAGGTGGTGGTTGTCCAGGCATCAATGGTTTGATTTTTTGATCTACTTTAAAACTAAATTGTAAAAAAAACTGTTTAGTTTCTCTGTTCCACATTGTCCAAAACTTTTCTTCACTTTTATCAACTTCACGACTTGGTACTTTAAATGCTATAGTTTCGTATGGTTCGGCTGCAAATAACAAGTATTGCCATCTCCTATCTGGTGGCTCTACTTTCTGTTCGTAAGCGGACATGAAACGATGACGAGGGGTGACTGTTTCTGCGATTTCTGGATAATCAATTTGAAAGAGAAGGCTTTGTTGACCGGTTTCGCTTTCTCGTTGTTTAGTTACCCGATAACCGGGACGACCGATCTTTACAAATTTTTTAATGTCAACTCTAGGTTTTGCGGGAGCTGGTTGGGCTGGTGATTCTTTTGCTTCTTTTGCAGCCCTTCTAGCTAGATTAGCTTGATGTTTCTTTCCTTGAGTGTGAGCTAAATAACTCCCCTCATTATTATGAAGGGTCAAACATAACTTGCATTCATATGAACCTGAAAATTAAAAGTTCTCAATCATTTTTTATATTAAATAAATATGAAAATTACAATAAAAAATAAATAAATAAATGAATTGTATAAAAACAAATAATTAAAGAAACAAATAAAATTTTTAAATGAAATACAAAAAACTTTTAATAAAAATCATGTTTTTGATAATTTGATAAGCATTGTAAAATTTTATGGTCTTCAATACACTAATGTGATATCTGTTATTACACAACAAAAATTAGCAATAAACGTCAATTCATAAAATAAAAATGATTCCTTTTCTAAACTAAATTATAACATAAGTGATAAGAAGTTATGATTTAAGTATTGCTTAGCAAATGGTTACAGAGGCAGCTTGTGATAAATATGTAAAGTAATTTTAAGAGAGTTCAGTTTACAGAAAAGAGTTTCAATCGTTTTCTCTTTGGATACTAAATATTCAATATAGTTAATTAATATTAAACATAATTAAAAGCATTAGACAACAAATGTAGATTCATTAACCATGCAGTGAATGTAACATATTTTATACTTCGTACTGCGGCAAAAAAACGAGTGATGCTGCAATATTAATAATGAAATACATCAAAACTACGCGTACAATTTTCATTTTAAATGAACAAATAATAATAATGAAATAAATCGTAAGTTTAATTATTCGCATAAGACCTATATACGACGGTTGATTTTTCGAATTACATAAGCCTACATTTAGAAAATAACGAGTCGACAAGAGAAAATTATTTGGTAGCCGCACGGATCGATATACATGAGTAATTTTGATGTTTACTGTCGCCATATGTATTGATTCTCAAAATCTGAATCTAAGAGATTTTCCATGTGAGGCCGTATAACTGAAGATCTTTACAGTAGATGGCGCCACACCAAAATAGGTTCAAATGTAATATTTTTTTTTTATAAATCAGAATTTCTTACTCATTATTTTAAAATTTATTAATCAAATGGAACTTGNATAAATGTAATACTAAAAATGATCTAGTTAGACTACATAGAATTTTATAAAATATTATTTTTAATTAAATTTTTATTTACAGAATTTTATTTAAAAAAAAAATACTGGCTTCGAAACAATAATCTTGGCAAATGAAGAACATTAAAACCAAATTATACATAAAAATTAAATCTCCATCAATATTGAAAAAATTTACTAAAAGAGAGAGAGACTTTATGATTTTCCATATACAATTTATATATACTACATTATAATGTTTTTGCCTTTAGAGTATGCAAATGAAAGCTTGAAATAATTAAATAAAATTTAATAGTGTGTTAATTTATATGATATTATTTATATTTTACATCTATTGTCAAACTAAAATATTTAGAGAAATGGTTACTTTATGGAATCCAATGAATGATACAATTACTAAGAAGTTGCTAACAATAGTCATATCCATTTACATATCCAGTAGATTATTTATATAACAAGTAATGTATTCCAATATCATTAAGAAATTCCTGAATTATTTATTATAAAATAAAATTGGAATCTAATATCCAAAATAAATATTTAAAGTAAATCTATAATAATTCTGGATTTTATATTTTAATTAAGATTTTAAGAAACTATTCAACATTGTCTGTTGAAATAACATAAACAATAGCTGACAGATTTGGGATATTTATTCAAATTTAAACTTGAGGAGGTCTATACCAGTGTTCCACAACTGGTGTGCCATCACAAAGATGAAGGTGTAACATAAACTTTTACATATTCTATTAATTTCAAATTTTATTTATATATTTTTATCACAGTTGCTGTGTTTTTTATGCTTGTATTTCATTCTCTGCCGTAGCACTGATGAAATAAGACAATGTTTGTTTATTCTTTATTACAAGCCATGCATTTTTATGTATTGTCAAGAAATTAAATGTAAAATAAATTTGCTCACAGGTGTTGGTCTGTTTAATAATAATAATAATAATAGGTTCGTGGCATTATATAATTCTATTAATAGTATCATATCATACGTTTTTGAGGAAAATAACATTTTGGTGTGCCGTGTTGAGTCATAGATGTGCCGCAAGAAGAAAAAGGTTGCGGAACACTGGTCTACACTATCTCTTAGAATCAGTCAAGTAATCATATAAGAAAACAAGTAAAATGGCCTTGCCGTTTTACTTGTTTTCTTATAAGATTAGATGAACAAATTTCATACTGCAAGCAAAATAAGGTTATTGAGTTCAAATACGAAAGGTTTGAATAAGAAGCTGTTTTTTGACAACGTAGACAATAGGCCTGCATCCTATCTATAAAAATTAAAAATCACACTGCAAACAGAAAGCTCCAGGAAAATGAAACCAGATGAATTATATGGTAAATGACTAAGACAAGGTAAACAGACAATGAATTTTCCTATATGGAATGTACAAGGGATCAGATCAAAAAGACAAGAGATAGTTAAAGAAATAAAAAGAATGAAAATTGACATTGTGATCTTAACAGAAACAAAAAGGAAAGGGTCAGGTATGGAAGAACTGGAAGACTATATGCATATTTACTCTGGTGTATCAAAAGAAGAAAGAGCAAAATGTAATGTATCCATGATGATAAAAAAGAAATTTAAGAGAAATATTACCAACTTTGAAACAATAGATGAATGAATGATTAAAGTTAACCTAAATATTTTTGGAAGACGAATTACTATCATTGGAATTTATGCACCAAATAAGGATGAAACCCATGAAGGTAAAGATTTGTTTTAAAAGATGCAAGAGATGATAGATGAAAGTGGCGAGACAAGAGAAATAAAGCTATTGGGTAATTTCAATGCAAGAACAGGATCATTGAAAAATAACAAAATTATTGAACAATTCAGAGAAAATGTGATGACTGACAATGGAAGAAGACTAATAGACTTTTGTAATACAAATCAAAGTCAATAACAGGTTTTTAAACAAAGATATTCATGGAATATGGAAAAGGAAATGTTGCAATATGGGAATAGATATTAATGGTAAACCAACGTTTACATTGCAATTTGCAGATGATAAGGATGATCTAGAATAATAAAAAGAAATAATCTACATCTGTCAGTGCTATTTCCAAGTATCAATAAATATAAAGGAGCCGATAACCTAAATGGATAAGGATGAAATCATTAAGATGTCATAAGATTTACCATTACCAATTTTAAAAAAATTTTTAATTTTTATTGGTTTTCTGTGCTTTTTAAGGAACTTTTTTAACAATGGGCAGCTGAGTAGCCTAAAAAGGAAGACCTGGCTGTCTATGGGCTGTTCTGGAACACTAAAGAAAAATAAAATGGTGATCATATGAAAATATTTAGAGAAATTTTGTCTTTCATTTGTATTACAGAATAAAAATAAAAATAAAAGAGGAATATTTTAAAGAAGATTTATATACAAACATGAGCACAACATGAGTAAAACAAAATATTTATGAATAAGAAGGGCTAAAACAGACATGAAACTGGAAGAAGGAGAAAAGATTGAGGGATGTGACCATTACAATTATCTTGGAATACAAATTCATCAAGATGGAAGAGATACATTAGAAATTAATACAAGATTAGCACAAGGTAAAATGAAGAAATAACTAGATCAAGAAAAAAAAAATATATATATACAGGTAACCCCGTATAACACGGTAGTTACATTCCAAAAAATTGCCGTGTTATGCGAAACAAAGAACTAGTACGAAAAGGAGGGTTAGGTTCCAAAAATTAAAAAACATGCTACTATATTTTCATAATTAAGATAAATATCTTTATTAAAATTTTCTTAAGTGATACATATTAATATAAATTAAACAATGTTTTCTTTGTCATCACTAAAAGCACTATTAACCGAGAGCGTTTTATTTTTGGCAAGTTATCGTTATCCTCTGAGCATTTTTCTGCATTATTTTCAGATTCATGCTTTACCT